ATATTAAGTATTCAGTAATGAGTTTTACCAATGTGTTAAAGCCCCTTCGCATTTCCCATATTAAGTATTCAGTAATGAGTTTTACCAATGTGCTAAAGCCCCTTCGCATTTCCCATATTAAGTATAGAGCAAATACAAATTAGGATTTCAATTTTGAAAAACTAAAAACAAATCCAAGTTGTACACAACTCAGAAAATAGGAATTACTGTAAAGCACTTGAATTTTGCAAAAGACAACTTTTTACAAATTCATGAAAAATTAGTGGAAATTGCAAGATTTTGTAGAAGGGGAGATTTCACTGGGGTCTATGTACATTAACTCACAGTAACTTTCTAGACATTAAATCATCAAATAGCGTACATTCTTAGCAGCAAAAACTGAATGTACTTCCTGCCCATGGTGCCTTGCAAATGCCTTTATGAATGGAAATTGTTTTTTTATCAACAGGCTGAGAACTTTGGTGACTCCTTTGTTCTAGAGGCAAGAGTGAGCGAAAAAACATTGAGTACTGTAACAGAAGTTGTAAGTATAATATGTATGCTTTTAGTTTGTAATGGTGTGTTGTACACTTATTTAAAAGGGAGAAATTATTTGAGTCATGTTTGTGACAATTTTGAATCCTGATCAATTCTTGTTACTCATTGTTTATGCTGATTCCTTCAAACTTTATTGACCATCAATCATAGTTAAATCAAACATTCTGGCTGTAAAAAAAAGCACTTTATTATTTTCTAGATAATCATAAATTCTGATTTCTGCTTTGGGCTGTTTGCATTCTTTGAAGTGGGTTCTCAAGAGTTTTCCTAAAATTCAGGAAAAATAACAATTTGCTGCACATTACCAACCAATAGTAATTGAATATAATAGGTATTTTGGTGTGGTTTTTTAATTATTACCTTCAAATAGTAACAATTTTGTTTATAATTTAAAAATAAATATTTCTTGCAGCAAATATGTGTAATAAATGCATCTGTGTTGTTAATAGGTTGCACAGACACCATGGTGGTTAAAAGTTATTGGTGCAGATTGGAAACATCCAGAAGGACCTGACACAAACATAACAGACAGGTAGGAATATTGCCTTTTTTTAGTATTTGAAGCCAAAGTCAATAGGTCTAGGCTCAAAAATGGATTGATTGATTGAATAACTAATACAAATAAAAAGATTAGAATGGTATCACTTACCTATTAAATACAGAATTCAGAAGTAGGTACTGTGTCAAGGGTCAAGTGGGAAAAGTCCCTCGCCATGATCTTGACAGAGAGGGGGACATACATAGTTGTCACTGTTCAAGTTTTTCATGAAAACAGTATTATACCCAGCTTTTAATTACATAACACATTATAACAAGATGCAATTTAACAAAGAACAAAAATTAAAGAATGCTACATAATACAAGTAATAACCAGCCACAGTAGTATAGATGTTGATAAGTATGACACAGAGTGACAAGCACGATGGCTTATGTGACATTTGACATGTAAGCCACCACTTTATTGTGCTATATATAGTATCATGAAATTAGTGAAGGTACAGGGAACATTTCAAATAACAATATTTTAATTTATAAATAACCATATGTATTTGTGCACAGTATTTCCCCTCATTGAAAGTCTAGTTATATTTTTGATGACTATATACTATACTATTTGATGATACTATATTTTTTTTTTTTTTTTAAATCTAATTTAGGTATTAAAGTTACCTCTTCTAATGTTATAAATGTTCCCCACCATAAATTTGCACTATTTCATGTATTTTTCTACAATTAAAATTTGGGAAAAATTTAAATAATGGACCCTTTTTGAAAAAAATATGCATTAAAAAAATAAGCAATTTTCGTGATATGTAACAAATGTAGCCTTTGGTGTTCAAAGCTTCAATGTGATAACAGCATGAAAAGGAAAGTGAGAATTAATTCATAGTGTAAATAGCATAGTCTCCCCACTGAGCTTGTTCACTCTGTTGAGGTTTGTACCCAACTTACAGTCGTCAATCATTTCCATATTTCCAGTATTAGCAATGCAAAATAAATAACAAATAAATTACAATTTAGATTATCATAGAATATTGGATTAAAAACTTAAGATCTTGTATTGTGCAGTTAAATATGCCATTAATAGTCACTAAAATATGTGGCCATGTAGTAAATAAAGATACTGGTATAGTGTGGATATTATTAATAGTTGAAATGTAAAATATTAGAATTGAAATGTTAATATGTACCATCGTCTTTGACATAGTGTGAACTATTTACAAATATTTCATTCATCTTGATATTCAAATTTGTCATCAATTTTATTGCAAATTACAACTTTCTGTATTGGTGAGCTCTACTATAATATTAATTTATTATAATAATTTATTGTTTATTATAACTATAAACAACATGTAATTATATATCTGTCTATTCCTTTATGATTCCAGTGTATATAACAAATAGTTGTGTTTAATGAATTTGTATGCTATTTTTTGGAAAACTATAAACTAAAATTTATTTGCAGTTACTGAATACTTAAAATATGGTAGTTGTGTCTTCTTTCATTTAAAGCATTCTATTCATTCTTCTCCTGGTATGACATTAATGACCAGTTTGACATTTTATCATTTTAATACTCACTCATGTACTAGTATTTCACCAATTAAGATTATATAACTCTTTCCAGCATTACTAAGAAGAAATAAATGATTTGAATTTTATTTAATAGAATGGATCATCCAGTACTTCATGTATCTTGGAATGATGCAGTAGAGTTCTGTAAATGGATTGGTAAAAGACTACCTACAGAAGCAGAGTTTGAATATGCATCCAGAGGTGGAAAGGAAAATAGGTATGTATGAATTATATCAATGAATTTTATTACCAAACATAGATTAGTGTAAACTAGTTAAACTACAATGTTGTAATTGATAAAATTGTTTGTGATGCCCAACTGTTAGTGCTAATAAATTGCTACATTTTGTCCAATATTACTTTGATATCTGGTATTATTATATTTGGCTTCATTATGTTTGGTACCAGACTACATTTATTTTGCAGCCTGACTGGCATATTACCATGGCACCAGACTATATTTTGTCTGGTTCTGGGCAGGCATCTAATAATGGTACCATGCTATATTTCTGATTAGTGTGAACACTTTGGTACCAGACTTTATTCAGTATGGCACAAGACTACATTTTATTTTAGTACAATACTGGCATCTGGTATGGTACTAGTGTATATTAAGTCTGGTATCTAGCTATATTTCAGTCTGATAACTAACCTTATCACATTTCAGTTTGGTTATCAGGATACATCAAATCTGGTACCAAGCTACTTTTCAGTCGCCAAGATACATTCAGACTGGCATTTTCAGGCTATAGTCAGTTTGGTTTCAATCTAATACAACACTATATTTGACTGAGCATCCGATAAACCGACCAGATTATGCAGTACATTCTCTAATGTTTTTATTTACAGAACATACCCATGGGGGAACCGTTTAAGACCAAATGGTAAATGGTTGATGAATGTATGGCAGGGTGTGTTTCCAACTGAAAATTCAGCTGAAGATGGATTTGCAGGAACATCACCGGTAACCATTTTGAATTTATTTATTAGCATAAATTTGCATATTGTCAATATAGTCATTTCCATAACACAATTTTAAATTATTTGTTACATAAATTTGCATAATGTCAACATTCTCATTTCTATAACAACAATTTTAATTTATTCATGAAGGCTCGCTCCTGTCATTTATATATTAAAGTGCATGTGCTTCTGGTGGAGCAAATATGTTGTGTTGTAAAATACTGTTAAAATTGAAACTTGCTTTAAAAAAAATTTTTTGGATAAAACTAACCTGATTGCCTTGATATTTTTTGTGCGGATACCTTAGATAGGCTTCTATCAGATTTGTTCATTTTGTCACAAGAGCTTCCATTGCCTCATTGCAGTTTTGTCATTTTGTATCAAATTGCAAATCACCATTTTCTTTGTCAAAATCAGTGCCACCAGATCAGTAAATCACTATTATGTTCTTTTTAAAAAATAAAAGCCCATCTGAAAAATTAATGGTCAGTGATTTACATAATGACAATGTACTGATTATTGCACTTCAAAATACATGTAGGTACTAATTGAGTCATTGTATGTTTAATTTGTATGTAGTGCCTTATTATCTTTTCAGTACAATTTATTATAGCTCAATTAACCAACTACCTTTTAAAAACACATTATTATATCATTTTGAAAAGACCTATTTTTGGTAAAAAAAATTCTATTTGTGACTTTTTGAATATAGCTGTACCAATTGCTTTGATATTTAATTTATAGTTTACCTTTAGTGAACTTCTGTCAGATTAGTTCATTTCATGTTTGGCTATCAATTTCCCTATCAAATTCTTTGATAGTATGGATCACATTTCTTTCACACTTCTAGTATTCATTTTAAGTTGCAAGGTTCTACCAAATGACAGACTACTAGTGAATATATGTACATTGTTATATTAGCTGACTTTTCGTGTTAAAATTGATATTCTTTCCTGTTTTATGACCCGAGCTTCCACCGTCTGTTACTCTGCTTCGCTACTGAAAATAGCCTCCTAGTACATTTGCGCAATACGTTTCCTGTTTCACCCACTGTAAATTTGCATATCTCAACCCTTGGCCTTTAAAAAATACCTAATCATATGTAAGACGTGATGTCAGTAGCAAAAGTCACCCACTTTAATAATCAATAAATTTCATGCCCATAATTTGCAACTGGCGGAAGATCCACAGAATCATTGAGACATTTGCTGTTGTTGTATCTCTTGATGTTACATTTTCAAAGTCGCGGTAAATCAAAGAAAAATTACTATAGCTGTGTTGAAATTGTTGTGTTGGTAGATAGATAAAACCCCTTGAAACTGGAGGCATTTTGTTGTTTGAGTAAAATATCGTTCACTGGCACCCTTATTGGCGATGGGATGTTTTCTCATTGGGAGGCAACTAGATTTGGTGTGTGATACTTTGTCTCATCAATGAAAGATGATATAATGTTGCATTGTACTTTTGAAATGATCGCAGCAGAAATGCACATTCTGAAATAGCACTCTCCACAAATTTACTCTTTTGTCAGAACAAACTCCCAGAAAAATTATCAGTATATTTCATGATGACTACTGTTGTATATTTTTATGCAACTTGTGTTTATCTGTTCAACCCCTAAAATCCTGCATAAATGTATTAAAATTGAACCAAAACAACTATGATCATCAAAACACATATCATAAAACAACTATGATCATCAAAACACATATCATAAAACAACTATGATCATCAAAACACATATCATAAAACAACTATGATCATCAAAACACATATCATAAAACAACTATGATCATCAAAACACATATCATAAAACAACTATGATCATCAAAACACATATCATAAAACAACTATGATCATCAAAACACATATCATAAAACAACTATGATCATCAAAACACATATCATAAAACATTTCAATTTGGCTCGAGTTATTTTGGACAGAAACGAAAACTTATTGTCACGCCTCTGCCAAGGTTGCAAGAAACAACCTAAACGTTTTGAGAAAATGGTGCAACTGATGTGGGTATTCCGAGGTGCAATGAATCAGTGGCACCAGTAAAGATAGATTTCTTGAATCTCTTTAAAATTTCCACCCTGCCAAAGAAATCAAAAGAAATATAGAACCAATTTGACAAGATTTGTGAGATTTGATTGGTGATGGTGCCAATTGAGATTTTGTTTTCTTTCGGTAACTTGTGCAAATAAAGTTTAAATGAAGTGAATACATAATTTGCTCATTAAAAATGTGACCAATCAAAGCACCACATCCAATTTCAGAACACAGGCAAATCAAACAGCAAAAGTATTGGAGTCTATTTTTCATTAGGGAAGCGGAGAAACAGATGGAGGAAACTAAAGTACTATTTTTTCAAATGTCAATACAAATGTGACAAGTCACTGACAATGGCTTGTCATAATTGAATTGAGACCATATGTCATGTGAATACAGAGGTGTATTCATATTTTGATCCACCATCTGTCAACTATTTTTACTTGATGTATGGTATATCCTGCTGATATACAACTTTTAGCTTAATGGACCTGTAATTTATGATGGTGCTGCTTTGATCATATTGCCATCCCAAAGATGCCTAAAAAAATAACTTTGGTTTTTGGTGTGTATAAAGCTGCCCTCACAAGAACTTAATGAATACTGTTTTAAATGTTCATTTTCAACCAGAATTCAACCAACCAGCATTTGCAATATGATGCTGATGCCAAAGTTGGTATGTTTATATTAGCCAAGTTATTGGTATTTATGAGTAGATTTCATTAAATAAAGAACCAGCACACTGCATTGTGAATAATATCTTATTTAAACAAGTGTAAAAACATTTTACATTGTGTAGAAACTGTCATAAATTTGGGAGAATATTGCATTCATCAGAGGAAACATACAGCTGTCAGTTGTATTCCTGTCTTCAATGTGATTGCTCTGCCAACTCTTGTCATATGTTAAATTATAGGTGATGGCATATCCACCGAATGGTTTTGGATTACATAATATGGTTGGTAATGCATGGGAATGGACCAACGATTGGTGGGGTACAAGTCATACTGCTGATCTTTATGTTAATCCAGTAAGTGAACACAGTGATGTGCATGTGTCAATAAAATTGTCATGCTGCTCCTGAACACCATGTCATATGTTTCTTAAAAACTACCAAAAACAGATGTAAATATGCTTTATTTATGACCTACAAAAGTTTACACATCCTAGTACTTTCTGGGGGTACAATTCATAAAAAAAATCATTCATAAACTATGATACTAAATGGGATAATAAGGTGATAATAACACAGTTTGTCCAAGAAATTGTGATTACTTTTTTTCTGGGGAGAACACTGCAGTAGTACTTTAATGGTCAAGCAAATACAATTGATATATTGAGCACAGATTGAGAGAAAGAATGCATTTTTCTGCAGTGAGTGTCATATGCCAGTATATGCAATATATATCCAATAAACACTGGCAATGGGAAAAATAACATGTATGCATGGTACATGCAGCTATTGTAATCTTCTACTAAACCTACCCTACCTATATATCACTTGGTATCAGTGTCAAACTCATTGGTATTATGTACATGTAGCTTATTAGATTACAAGAAAAATGGGATTGATTTTTGTTTTCGAACCATTATATACTATTTTTTATTTGAACTTTAATCATGTACTGTGTGTTCTTTTCAACAGAAAGGTCCAGCATCAGGCATAGATAAAGTAAAGAAAGGTGGTTCCTACATGTGTCATGCAGTGAGTATCACAGTCTTTATTAATTTTAACAGAAATGGCTAAATAGTAGGCATGGACATTTCTGAAATGACAAAAATACAATTATCAGACCGGAGGTAACCACATCCTATTTTTTATGGAAAGGAGTCTGATTATCCTTAGTTTCTAAGATTGAATATCCCTGGTTTCCATGGAAATGTATCTACATTGATTATAATTTGTTCACTACCATCACTCCATTATATTTACAGTCATCCATTCTTTCATGTATAATTTATAAATATTTTATTGTGAATATTTCTTTCTTTTTGCAGTCATACTGTTATCGTTATCGTTGTGCAGCTAGAAGTCAGAATACACCCGATAGTTCTGCATCTAATTTAGGATTCCGCTGTTTTGCTGATATTGACAAGCCACCAGCAGGTGTTGAGATAGAAAATATGCCGAAATAAACAACTTTGATTTTCTGCTGCTAACCTGCTTTGCTATTTTTCAGTCTAAACTTGTGCCTCTCTCAGATTTGTATCTTTTCATTTTTTTTTAACTTGACTTCAACAGTTTATTACTATGTTCTATACAATCTAAGATGCTAGCCAGGTGAGATGATCTGCATAACACTATTCCATTGTTTTGTTATTTTGCATGTCAACAAAGTGAAAAAGAATATGTGTTGCCCAATACACCAGTAGCTGGGTCACCTATCAAAACCCCTTGTGAAGTAGCTGAATATATGAGATAACACACACAAATTGAAACATGTTTTTTCTCTTTAACTAAGCCATTCATAAATTTTCACTAATTAGTACGCTATAATTTTGCTTCCAATAGTCAGTCCAGGAAACTTTTCTCAAGAATGTAAATAATCCTTAGAAAGTGCACTTTTGTACAACTACTAATTATGCCATTATCTTGTAAAATTGATAATATTTATCAGATTTCGTTCCAAAAAGTAGTACAAATTGCTAAATATACCAGTTTTTAAGAGTGCTTAACTGAAGTTGACTTGAGAGTTGGGAGTTCTCAATTAAAAACTTGAATAAGTATTTACATTCAGTTTTTGAAAATGAATATTACATAATTATATTATTGTTATGATTTACTAGCACCTTAATCTACAAAGATAAGATGCCAAGTATGTAAGTTGTGGGATACTAGTACTTCACATTTAGTGGTAAAATACGATGCATGTCTTGCTGGTATATAGGGTTGGGAGTACTGTACGAGCCTAATTCTGTCTTCACATGTCATATGTCTTCCATTTCTAATATTCAGTTACCAACAATAACTTAAAGTTGGTAGGTATATGCATTACTAAATTATATTTCTGCTATGCTATAATGATTAATGCAAGCCAAAAACAAGGCTTGTTTTTGTTGTATTTGACATTAAAATATAATCTAATTAGTGCTTTTACTTCTTGAACATGTATATAACAGGTATAGTGAGGCAATCACAGGCAATCATGCAATCACAGGCAATCATGCAAAATGCCGGTTTTGAAAGACTGTTTATTTGTTAGAAATGGTTGTAAAATCTTTTTGGTCTTTTTCTTATAACTTATTATTATTGGTATAAAATACAGAAAACAAAAATATTACTTTATTTTCAGTAGGAATTATAAATCTGTCACAAAAAGGCCAGTGTAGCAGCTTTCATCATTCAAAATATCAAATCATATCTTTTTGGTCTTTTTAGCAATGAATTATGATGGATCACATAAATTTCTTAAAATATGAGTTTAATATAACCAAATATTGGTGGCAATGAAGAGAAGATGATGAAGTTTAATCTGTAGCATATCTGCAGGGAGTATAGTAAACCTGATAATACTGATTGGTGTTCCTTTCAGTCTGTTATGTTGCAATAAGGGCTTAATATTTGGCTTTTGAATCTTATTGTCTGGAACAATTTAGAGATTATCTCTTAAATCTTCACAAATGGTGCAATAATAATACAAGATTTATGCCAGTGGGTTTGTACATTACGATCAATAAATATAGTATTAGATAAAATTTGTTTTTGTAATGTTTGTTATTTACATAAAGGCATATATGTGTGGAAGATGTTTGAAAATGCAGTTGATTCCTGATTTTAACAGCAATCTGGTATGTTCTACCAGGATGGTCTAACAGTGGCGGTACATCAAAGGAATTGATCTTCTATGTCAGAGAAAGCAACTTTTTAACCCACCTTTGTATTGAGTAGTGAACCTTAGGTTTTGGCCAGTTCCATTGCATTTTAAAGTTAGCGAGACCTGAGTTTGTCTGTAACTGAGAGGTGTATTTGTAACTGACAATTGATTTACATTATTTCACAGCATGGAGGTAAAATACTGTCTTTTATCTCGGTGTTCACAGGGATGCTAATTGTTAAAGAGCGGGCCCTTCCAGTCATAGGTTCTCTGAGTGTTTTTTCCCATTTAGTGAACGAATTATCTTGGTAGCTACATTATTTTTTATTGTATCTGTCAGCATCCTTTATTCTATGCTTTTGTCATATTACCTCAAACCCTGCAAATAGAAGTGTGTATGGAATCATGGGTAGAAACAGTGTGTATTGCCGTTTGATAACTGTCATAAATGTGATTGACAGGTCATACTTGTTTTCAACTCTGGAAGGACAGTTGGAATCTTCCAGGTGTGCTTGTGATTTACTTAAAGGGAAAGTCAAGGCTAACAACATTATACTCCCAGATAAAAGAGCTTGGCAAATGTAAAAACATGCAATTTACAGTTTTTTTATATCACTTTTCATACCAGTACTCTAGATATTCAACTTTTCATCAATTTATGTAGTCCGCCATCTTGATTCTTCAGCAAAGGATTATGGGTAAAGTATGACATAGAATCTGTTAAAAATTGAGAAAATGATTTCATATATAACTTCAAAAGTTGAACTTCAAACTGGCTGAAAGTTTATAACATGGTAGCATACATGTACTGGTGCCAAACATGCTTATAAAATAGTTGTCATGGAAACAGAACTGAAAATATTTATTTTTAGGTTTTTCTACGAAATGCTCAAATTTCCTTATATTGTATACAATTTACCGATGTGAGTAGGTTATATAGGTGATATATTACCTGTTGACCACAAAAAGGGGACACAAAAGTGTCATTCTTTATTTCATGACTAAAATAACCATTTTTATTTTTTTAACGTTTTGGCAATATCTTCACTTTATGTGTATTTGTAACATTCTAATTTCCATTACTATAATTATATACATGAGTAATATGCAGAACAAAAATTTGAACTAATTCACATCAGTATTTCTCATGTTATAAATAAAATCATTTTCTCAATTTCTGAAAAAACAGATTATATGATGTCATACTTTACCCATAATCCTTTGCTTGAGAATCTAGATGGCTGACTACATAGTACTGATGAAAAGTTGAATATCTAGAGAATTTGAAGTTCAACTTTTGAAGTTATAGATAAAATCATTTTCTCAATTTCTGACAACACACTATGATGATGTTACACTTTACCCATAATCCTTTGCTGAAGAATCAAGATGGCGGACTGCTTAATACGGATGAAGTTAAATATCTAGAGAATGAAAAGTGATAAAAAAAATGTAGATTGCATTCTCCTACATTTGAGGGGCTTTTTCCTGAGGGGTCATTATGTTGTTTGGCTTGACTTTCCCCCCGGGGACTTTCCCTTTAACAAAGGGTGTTTACAACTTTGGAAGGACAATTGGAATCTACCAGGTGTGCTGTTAATTAAATAACAACAAATGTTTATGATCTACTGAGTTGCCTAGGTGACACAGCTGCTAGCAAGATCACATTCTGATTGGCTCATGTAGAAACCCAAGGTGGTGTCACTGAATCCGGGCCATTTATGCCTATAAATTGGACAGACTGAAGACAGTTGTGGATCACCATTTCAATTGAGTACACTGTGGTTGCTACTGCGATATTGTCAGACAAGTGATACAGGCTTCAACCATCGTTCTGTGAGACTTGTATGAACAATTTTGGTGTATGTGTATGTGTATTTCATTTCCAGTACTATTGTCTTGTCTACACCATTCTAGCAGTGAAAGAACCCCTTGTCGGCCCTCTCAACACTGACAGTATCACTGCACGTTTCCACAATTTGGGAAGCGCAGTTTGACCGACTGTCTGAGCATTGTTGGACCTTCCTGGTCATATGTTTGTAGGATACCCATGATCCCCAGTATTCAACAATGTTAATACTATAAACAGACTCATCAAATGAGTGATTTAATAGTTGAAAGTGGTTCAATTTGTACTAGCGACTTCCATCAATATGTGGTAAAGGGTTTTGCTAAAGTATGCAATG